TCTTTGTGTATTACTTCCAAAGCACTTAACGTAGTTTGAAAAAAAACAATTCTTTATGCACTCATATTTCATCAGTTTATATAATATTTAATTCAATTAAAAAAAAACAATGACGAATACACCTGGCATAAACAGGCTAGGGACACATCCAACCAACAGACAACTCAACCCAGAGGTAGTTGAGTTCTTGCTTTTCTAGACCAGGAGTCAGCAAACTATAGCCCTGTGGGCCTGTTTTTGTACATTCTACGGGTTAAAATGCCTTTTAGGGGCCAGGTGTGGTGGCTCACACCCGTAATCCCAGCGCTTTGAGAGGCCAAGGCAGGCAGATCACTTGAGGCTGGGAGTTGGAGACCAGCCTGGCCAACATGGTGAAACCCCGTCTCTACTAAAAATACAAAAGTTAGCCAGGCGTGGTGGCATGTGCCTGTAATCCCAGCTACTCAGGAGGTTGAGGCAGGAGAAAAAAAAAAACCCGGGAGGCAGAGGTTGCAGTGAGCTGAGATTATGCTGCTGCACTCCAGTCTGGGTGACACAGCAAGACTCTGTCTCAAATTAAAAAAAAAAAAGCGTTTTAGGCCAGGCACAAAAAAACATGCCTATAATCTCAGCATTTGGGGTGGCTGAGGCCCGAGGATCCCTTGAGTTCAATAATAATGAAAAGAATGGCTTTTAAAGTGGTTGAATCTGTAAGCGGTTAAAATAAACTAAAAAAAATTTTATGACATGAGAATTACATAAAATTCAAACTTCAACATCTGTAAGTAAAGAAAAAAAGAAGCACTACCATGCTCATTTTTTTTTTTTTTTTTTTTTTTGGTGTATTCCATGAAAAAAATCAAGCTACAGTGGATGAACCTAACGGTGTCAATAGAAACTGTATGGACCACAAAAAAAAAGATATTTGCTATCTGGTCCTTTACAGAGTTTGCCTACCTCTGTTCTAGAGTGAAGCCTGAGCCTTGAGCACGCACCACACCATAGGTATCTGTTACTGTTTTGCAGAAGCTTCAGGTAAGAGGGAGGGCTCCTAGGGGAGCTCCTACCATAAAAAGTGAAAATCCCTTCCTTCTTGGCATTGCTGTTTCCTAAACCCACGCCCCACTCTTCCCAAGGTAGCTTCATGGTGTGCTTCCAAAAAAACTTCCTGGGCTCAAGTGATCCTCCCACCTTGATCTCCCAGCACACTGGGATTACAGACGTGAGCCCCTACAGCCAGCTCTCATTTTTCTCTATAGCACTTACCAGACATATTTCAAAAAAAATTGTTTATGTATTTATTCATTTATGTGAGACAGATTCTCACTCTGTCACCAAGGAAAAAAAGCAGTGGCACCATCTCGGCTCACTGCAATCTCTGCCCCTTGGGTTCAAGTGATCCTTGTGCCTCAGTCTCCCGAGTAGCTGGATTACAGGTGCCCGCCACCGTGCCTGGCTAATTTTTGTAGTTTTAGTAGAGACAAGGTTTCACCATGTTGACCAGGCTGGTCTTGAACTCCTAAAAAAAAATGATCCACCTGCCTCGGCCTCCCAAAGTGTTGGGATTACAGGCGTGAGCCACCGAAAAAAACCTCCATGCTTATTTATTTTCTATTTCCTGTCGCTAGAATGTGAGCTCTATGACAGCAAGGATTTTGCCTGTTTGTTCACTGCTCTATCCCAGTGCCTAGATCAGTGCCTGGCACACAGCAGGGACTTAATAAGTGCTTATTGTGTGAGGATTGAATTACTCTTTTTATTTTCTTTAAAAAAAAGAGTCTCGCTCTGTCATCCAGGCTGGAGTGCAGTGGCGCGACCTTGGCTCACTGCAACCTCTGCCTCTCGGATTCAAGCAATTCTCCTGCTTCAGCTTCTCGAGTAGCTGAGACTACAGGCACGCGCCATGACACCTGGCTAATTTTTGTATTTTCAGTACAGATGGGGTTTCACAAAAAAAGCCAGGCTGGTCTGGAACTCCTGACCTCGTGATCCACTCACCTGGGCCTCCCAAAGTGCTGAGCCACCACACCTGGCCTGAATTACACTTGCTGTATGACAACCTGCTGTCTGCAGGACCCTGGGCATGAGGAAATGCCTGAGGGTGGAAAGCAGTGGAGCAGTGCTGCACAGTGCAAAAAAATCAAAGAGAGGCCTTGTGTGTGGAGTGGGTACAGGCAGGTGGGTGATGGGGTACAAAAAAATAAGCCTCTGGGGATGAATGGCAGAGGCTACACCATCTTGATGAGTGGCCCTTGAGCCCACTGGACAAGGAGAATTGTTGGCTGGGGTCCAGGTCCATGGTCTCCCTGACTTGGGGTGGCCTTGCCAGGTGGTCTCAGAATGGGGACCAAAGGAACCCTTTGATTCTGTCCCCTCCAAAAAAAATTCTGTCCCCTACCCTTCAAAGACAAACTGGAGGCAGGTCCTGGTCTCACTTGGGACCTGGAATCACTTCTACAAAAACGATTGTTTCTGAAGTTTCCCCCCTCACACCCCAGACATGTCTCATGGCCACTGAGTCATGCAGCAATGATGGGTGTGGGTGTGTGGATGGGGGGTGGCTGAGCCCATTGATCGAGGGCTGAGACATCTTCCCCGCTAATCAACAAGTTAATAAGCTCTTCAATGAGGAGGCGGTGATTAATGAACCAATCAGCTTGCCCTGTAATTGGGGACTGAGATAAAAAAATGGGGGTATGATGGATAGAGACGGTTTGCAGGGATGTGCGGCTGGCTCCTGGTCCACACTGAGGCCACCTAGGGGCCCATTTACTTTGGCTATCAAAGAGGAAGTGACTTCTTCAGAGGTTGTAGCCCGAATTTAGGCCACCCCATGCCCTCTAGCTTCTACAGTGTCTGTCCTCTCTTCCCATCTGTCCTTGGACTCCACGCTCCCCAAGCCATAATAGGGTTCCAGGGATGTCAGAAAAAAAGTGGCCATCTCACAGGTTCCTTCTTCTCTCTGCCTGGGATCGGTGCACTAGAAACCCCCTACAACCACCAGGGTTAGTGCCGCAGGATCAGAAGAGCTAATAGCTCCCTACCGTCAAAAAAACTTGCCCCTGTTAGCCTGCAGGGTCCTTCTCTAGGCCCTGACCCCTGGGATCACAAAAAAACTAACCAGCCCCACTGCCCCCTCCATCCTAGGGTGAGCACCTGTCTTTTGTCTTAAAAAAAAGGAATGGAATTCTTTGATTTCCGCTGTCTCCCCTCCAAACCGGACAAAGGCTGTCTCTGTCTCTCTGTATCTATGTCCTGGGAACCCCTCAGACTAGGGCTCCCCTATGACATGAAAAAAACTCTCCTTTGAGAATGGGGTTCTTAAAGGACAGGGGTGTGCCTTGCCCCCTGGAAAAAAAATTCCTAAAAGGAATGATTTTTCTCCTCCCTCCAAGGGCAGGATCTATGTCCCCTAAAAAAAGTGTCCTCTTCCACTCCCATGCTCAGCAGGGCACCCTGGTGTTTCCCGGGATGTGGAGTCCTACGGGGCCTGACTGGCTGATAAGGAGCCATTTCCGGAGAATGCAGGTGATTGAAAAAAAAAAAGGGTGACACAGAGCCCTGAACTCCCCATCTCAGGAGAGCTCTAAAAATAGCGCCAACAGCCATCTGTCCTGGGGCTGGAGGGGCTGGCTCAGAACCAAGGGCCCGGACAAGTTGGCCCTGTCAGCCCCCATGGGCCAGGGAGAGGAAGCTGGAAGGACTTTATGGGGAGACCTCCCCACAGCCCTTTCTCCTCCTGGGCAGGTGGGTTTGAGGGGGCTGGCAGTCTGGAGGCCCAAAAAAAACTTGGCCTCTCAGAGTGGGTGGTGGGCCCCAGACTTAGTCTTCGGGTCCCTGTTCCCAGGCCTGCCTCTGGCACCCCAATGGCTACTCCAGGTGCTGAGCCTTTCTGCCCCTCAAAAAAAAGAGGTCCTCTTCCTGGGGTCTGCCTCACCCTCCTTTTCCTGTTTGAATTGTGGGTGAGCTTGGCTGCTCCATCACCTCCCAGGACTTCAGTTTGCTCATCTGGAAAATGGAGATAAAAAAAATTCATCGTCTTGTGATGCCTGAAATTATGCACTACCCGGTGCACAGTAGGTGCTAAAAAAACATGAGTCCTTTCCTTCAAATGATCTGGGCTTAGAGCCCAGTGCAAAGTGCCATAAAAAAAGGACAGTGGCATGTGCCTGGGAAGCCTTGGCATCACTCAGGCCCAGAAGACACCAAAAAAACGAATGACACCTACATAGAGGTGGAGACACTCTGCCTTGGGAGGGGGCTCTATGCCACACATGGCTGGACCGGGGTCTGTGTGTGCCAGTCTGGATACATAGGTGGCCAACTCAGCTGCTTCTGGTGGGGGGATTGGCTTCTGCCTCCTCCTGCCTCTCTTCCAACTCTTTAATAGAGAGAGGACATAATGGAGTGTTCAGAAAGGCCTTTCCCCCAAGACACCATAAACTGCAGGTAAAAAAACAAGGTCAGGTCAGGTCAAGGTCAGACAAGGTCATCCTGTCTCCAGGAGACTTTAAAAAAAAGGTCCTGTCACTCCTCAGCCCTTCTCCAAACCCTTTGAGCAGAGGCTGAAAAGAAAAAAATTTTGGAAAGAGTGGTCATAGATCCCACAGACTGGAGTGAATGTGTCCACCCTCAAAAAAACAACTCCCACCCACGGACAGGCTAGGGAAGATAGAATCTCAACTCTGGTCTTAGGGGCTGCCCCAGGAGTCTAGACCCAACTGCTTCACTTCCTCAGGAGACTAGACCTGCCACTAAAAAAATGTGGGGTGAATATGGGGTTCAGGCTGGGTACCCCATCCAGTGAGACCCCGAATAAAAAAATGGCAGCTGCCCCCTCAGCTCCTGCGAGGTGGAGACATCAGACACTGGCTGGGTATAAACTCAGTGATCTGGCGAGGGTGGAAGGAGGGAGGAAGAAGGGCCCACCCCCTGCTGGAAAAAAATCCCCCTCCCCCTAGGACTCCCCCTCCCTTTCCAGGCGAGGATATAAGCCCCACAAAAAAAGCGCTGAGCAGAGGAGGCCTCAGCTTGACCTGCTGCAGTGCAGCCCTTGGGACTAAAAAAACCTTCCACCTCCTGCTCATCTGCTTCACAAGTTATCGCTGTGAGTGGCTGGGGGCTCAAACATGGTCTGCTACCAGGAAACCCAGGGTGTTTTGTGGGGAAATTGAGGATGGGTGGTGGAAGCTGGGGGTGAGTGGTAGGAAACTGGATTGGAGGGGGCCGTTGGAGGTGGGAAGGAGGCCCGGGAGTCCCGTTGCCAGCAACTAACTCTCTGGGCAGCAGCGGGAGTGGGCGTGGGAAAAAAAGCAGGGCTTACGCCCCTCTCACAGATGAGGAAACTGAGTCAGGAGACGGTGCAGAAAAAAAGAATACACAGCAAGCCGGTGGCTGAGCCTTGGTCCGGTACCAGCCCCAGGAAGAAAAAAAAAGCGCGGCCCCGACGGCAGCCGCAGCCTCCCGCCGTGGAGGGTCGAGGCTTGGAAAAAAAAACCCCCCAGTATCGCCTTCCCAGATGGTGCTCGTGCGCAGGCCGTGGCCCGCCTTGGCCACAGTGATTCTGGCCCTGCTCGTCTGCCTGGGGGCTCTGGTCGACGCCTACCCCATCAAACCCGAGGCTCCTGGCGAAGACGCCTCCCCGGAGGAGCTGAGCCGCTACTACGCCTCCCTGCGCCACTACCTCAACCTGGTCACCCGGCAGCGGTGAGCGTAGTCGCGGAGCGGGACCCAAAAAAATCTCACTTTGTGGCCCCGCTCCACCTGGGGGCGTGGCCAGATCTGACCACGCTCTTCCCGCCCCGCCCCCAGGTATGGGAAAAGAGACGGCCCGGACGCGCTCCTTTCCAAAACGAAAAAAACCGACGGCGAGAACCGCCCCATCAGGTCGCGGTAAAAGCGCCCCCGTCACCACACATCCTGCCTCCGAGAGCGCGGCCTGGCCCCACCCTGGCAACATCACTTACGACGTCTCCCAGGCTCGCCTACCCGAGATCCAATTCCTTCCCCTTCGCTTCCGCAGGTCGGAGGTCCCAGAAAAAAAATGAGGACCCCTGAGGCCTCCTGGGAGATCTGCCAACCACGCCCATCTCATTTGCATAGCACTCCCTACCCCACAAACCCGGATTCTGCCTCCCGACGGCGGCGTCTGGGCAGTGTAAAAAAACGGCCCTCCGCCCGCATCTCGGTGCCCCCGCCCTCTGGGCTGGAGGGCTGTGTGAAAAAAATCCGTGGTCCCAAAATAAAGAGCAAATTCCACAGAAACGGAATGTGTGCCTTTGAAAAAAATTTCCTTTCTCCTTCGTGGAGGTGGCGTCCAGTGGAAGTGGAGAGTAGAGGCGTAAAAAAAAGGGAAGAGAAAACCGACTTGGACAGAGGCGCCCCAGGACAAGGCTGGGGCGGGCGGCGGGGTTCCCTCTGCTCGGAGCCCAGGGAAGACTCGACCACCCAGCCTGGAGCTGGACAAAAAAAAGACCAGGAATTGCTGTGGAAGGAACTCTGGTCGAGTTGGGGCAGTGGTGGATGAAAAAAAGGAAGAAGGGCGGGGAGCGTGGACGGGAGCCTGCTAGGCAGCCTACGAGAGCAGAAAAAAACAGGGCTGTCCCTCCCCCACCCCGTGAAGCCAAAGACGGCTGGGGGACGAGTCGGGCACCAACACACTGGGGAACTTCCCCAGGAGCTGTATTACTAGCGCCCAGGGCTGGAGTGAAAAAAAGTGAAGTGTGATCCAAAATGGGGCTGTGGAGGACGAGCTGTGTGGGGGTGAGATAAAAAAATGTGTGCTGGCCGGAGAGGCAGGCCATTTCTACCGTCCCCCTTTCACTGAGTAGAAAAAAAATGGGAGTGTGGAGGCTGCCCTATCCCTAAGAAACTGCCCTCCCCCATATCGCTAAAAAAACACTCAGTGGATGTCATGAACCGTTCTTTCCCAGTGACAAGGCCATAGGGACACAAAAAAAGTACCCCCCCTCCCCTGGACTAGCTACTGAAGCCTAAAGGCTCTGTAGATGTTTAAACTGGAATCCAACTCGAACCCCTCACCACTCTGCACCTATTCCAGAGCCTCTGCCTGCAAAAAAAACTCCCCTGACATCCATCCTTCCCTGCCCCTTTCCTCCAAGAAGCTTGCCTTGATTGCCCAATTGCACTCTTCCTGCCTTCTCGGCTGCCCGGCTCTCAAGGCCTCCGCTCTGTTCACTAAGAGTTCTGTCTATGTCTCTGTATCCTGTGTCCCTCCTGGGGCCTCAGGAAGGAAGGAAAAAAATCTCCTTCCTGGGACACAGCCTCCTGTAGCTGTGGGCTCTGTCCTGGGACTCTAAAAAAAAAAGACCTGCCCAAATCTGAAGCAAGGCGCTAGGAGATGAGGGAGGAAATCAAAGAAAAAAACCCAGAGAGTGAAAAAACAACAGGAAGGCTGGGGCATCCTTGCAGCAGATCAGGAAAAAAAGGTTTTGTTTTGTTTTTGCTTTTTGTTTTGAGACAGAGTTTTTGCTTTTGTTGCAAAAAAAGGAGTGCAGTGGTGCCATCTTGGCTCACTGCAAACTCCACCTCCTGGGTCCAAGAAAAAAACCTCCCTCAGCCTCCTGAGTAGCTGGGACTACAGGTGCCTGCCACCATACCCGGAAAAAAATTGTATTTTTAGTAGAGACGGGGTTTCACCATGTTGGCCAGGATGGTCTCGGTCAAAAAAACTCGTGATCTGCCTGTCTTGGCCTCCCAAAGTGCTGGGATTACAGGCGTAAGACACTGCGCCTGGCCCGGATCAGGGTTTTTAAGGACTATTTGCAGTTCAATGGTTCTGGAAGGAGAGAAGACTCTAAAGCTGACTGTGCCATAGCTGCAGAGAAGGTCCCTGCTTGGACACAGGTCCGTTGGGGGCCAGAGGGCTCTGACACCCACCCTCCCCTGTGCTGTCCTCCAGCCTCCCTAAAAAAAGAGCTGAAAGGGTGAGGCAGAGGAGGCAGGTGGAGGTCACCAGCTATGTGGATTCTGATGCTCTGCGCCTTTGCCCAGGCCACTCTCCCTGCTTGCAGAGCCCTTTCCCTCTCTTAAAAAAAAAAGATACTCTCAGGATAGTAGTCACCTCCTCCCGGAAGCCTTGCCTGATTTCTAAAAAAAGAAGTTAGTTTCTTTGACTCCCTCTCCCCACTCATTATCTTGGACCCACTTTCCAAAAAAATTTGCCTCCTGTCTTCTCTCCTGCAACAGGACAGGTGGGATGGGAGCACACAGTGGCTGCCCAGAGCTTTGGTTCATTGTGTGGGTGGGGAGCGGGAGAATGTGTCTGTGCTTTGAAAAAAATGATCCCCTGTCTATTGGTCTGCCTGGGAGAGCTATAGTCAGTTTAAGGCGGATGGAAGAGAAACCTGGTATGAATTAGGCATGACTACAGACAATTTCTGTCCAGCTTGACCATAAAAAAAATGGGTCCACCTCATGTTCATTTTGAGGAGTGTTGAGCAGTTTAGGGTAATAATAAAAAAAATAATTATTATTAGTATAATAATAATGAGAATAGCAATAATTACCTTTCCCAAAAAAAAAATTATTTATGTGCTAGACACTGAGCTGTTTGTTTTACATATATCATATTACTAGGAAAAAAATTTGGCTTAAAAAAAAACAGGTGGAATTAACAGTGGCTTAAACAAGATGGAAATTTATTTCTCTTGCATGAAATGTGAGTGACATCTGGGGAGTTGGCAGTTGTACTCCATGAGGGCATCCAAGAGCCCGGGCTCCCCATTTGTGGCTTCCCCATGCCCTCATCTATGTCATTTACAAAAAAACAGACAGCCCACCATGGCCTCATCTGTGTTCTAGCCAGTGGCAAGGGAGGGAAGGGCAAGATAGGCACTCTGGTTACTACGTTGTATAATAAGTTACCCTAAAACTTGGCAGCTTCAAACAACCATTGTACATCACTGAGGATTTTGTGGGTCAGAGTCAGGAAGTGCTCCTCCTGAAAAAAATTGCTTTGAGTCTCACATGCGGATACTACCAGAGGTTGGCAGGGTTGCAGTTAAGGATCCACCGGGGTGATGCCTGAGAAGGCTCATTCGCATGCTGGTGCTGGCTGTTGAGTTCAGCTGGGGATGTTGACCATTGTACCTACATGTGGCCTCTCCAGCCTGATATTCTTGGGGTAGTTGGACTTACATGGTAACTGGTCTCCTGCTTAGAGTATTTCAAGAGAATCAGATGAAGGTGGCATTGCTGTTTAGTTTGCTAGGGCTGCCATACCAAAGAATCACAGACTGGGTGGTTTAAAAAAAAATTCTTGTGGCTAGCAGTCTGAAATGAAGGCGTTGGCAGGTTAATTCCTTCTGATCTGTTCCAGGCCCCTCTCGTTGTCTTGAAGATGGGTATCTGAGCTGTGCCTCTTCACCTCAAAAAAAATCTTTGCATGTCTGTTTCTGCGTCCAAATTTCCCCTTTTCAAAGGAGAACAGTCAAAAAAAATTAGGGGCTCACACACTATAGTATGACCTCATCTTTTTTTTTTTTTTTTTTTGTAGATGGAGTCCTCACTCTGTTGCCCAGGCCGGAGGCAGTGGCCGTGATTCTAGCCTCACCACACACCTCCGCCTCGCAGGTTCAAGCGATTCTCCTGCCCTAGGCTCCGGAGTAGCTGAGACTACAGACATGTCGCCACAACACCAGCTAATTTTTGTATTTTTAGTAGAGATGGGCTTTCACTATGTCGGCCAGGGTGGTCTCAAACTCCTGACCTTGTGATCCACCCGCCTTGGCCTCCCAAAGTGCTGGGATTTCAGGCGTGAGCCACCGCGCGCCTGGCAACCTCATCTTAACTAATTATATCTGCAATGACCCCTTTTCTAAATAAGGTCACATTCTGAAGTACTGGGAGTTAGGACTTCAACATATGAATTTCAGGAGGAACACAATTTAATTCACGACAACCATTTTTTGTGACCCAGCCTCAGAAGTCACATAGCACCATATCCTATATTCTGTTGGTCAAAGCAGTCACAAGTGCACTCACATTCAAGAATAGGGGACACAGACCCTACTGTAGAATCACACATGAGATAGGAGGTATTTTTGTGTCATCTTTGAAAAATATAATCTGCCATAGGCAGGCACATCCATTCCTAAAAACGGAATGGCAAAAACCACTTTAACTCTCAGCCCATTGGCTAAAGCCTAGTCTCATGGCCCCACTTAGCTGCAAAGGCAACCTATGTCTTTGCTGAGTGGCTGTGTGCCCATCTCAAGCTCTTTGTTTTTACAAATTTTTTAAATTTATAAATGGATTATCTTTTTTTTTTTTTTTTGAGACGGAGTCTCCCTCTGTCGCCCAGGCTGGAGTGCAGTGGCACAATGACTCACTGCAGCCTCCCCTTCCTGGTTCAAGCGATTCTCCTGCCTCAGCCTCCTGAGCTCCGGAGTAGCTGAGACTACAGACATGCGCCACCACACTCAGCTAATTTTTGTATTTTTAGTAGAGATGGGGTTTCACCATGTTAGCCAGGATGGTCTCGATCTCCTGACCTTGTGATCTGCCTGCCTCGGCCTCCTAAAGTGCTGGGATTACAGGCTTGAGCCACCGCGCCCGGCCTCTTTTTTTTTTTTTGAGACAGAGTTTTGCTCTTGTTGCCCAGGCTGGAGTGTAATGGCACGATCTCAGCTCACTGCAGCCTCCCCTTCCTGGTTCAAGCGATTCTCCTGCCTCAGCCTCCTGAGGAGGTTGGATCATAGGCATGCACCACCACGGCCCAGCTAATTTTGTATTTTTAGTAGAGACAGGGTTTCACCATGTTGGACAGGCTGGTCTTGAACTCCTGACCTCAGGTGATCCACCCGCTTTGTCCTCCCAAAGTGCTGGGATTACAGGTGTGAGCCACCGTGCCCAGCCGGATTATCTTTTTGTTATATAACAAACCTACATATGTACCATCTCGAGGTTTTTGATGATGAAAGGAGAATGTGGATATTTGGGCACCTAACATTATCTACTAGGAACATGATGTCCTTTGAATGTCATCTAGAAATCATTTGGGCCTATCTCTTCATTGAACCAATGGGAATCCCAAGGCGGAGAGGAAGAGGCTTGCAGGAAGCCGTAGAATAAGGGACAGAGGTAAGAGATCTCATCCCGAAGCAGTTCTGTTTCCATTAAACATGAAATCTAAACTCTCTGCCAGAAACTCAGGCTTTTCATAACACCCTTTCCTCCTTCAGTGGCATTTCCTGCAATTTCTCAGTGTGCGCCCCTAAAGTGCTCAACCCCACTGCCAC